GCACACAGAGTGCATCTATACTGTAGAATTTGTGCAGTTTGACACCACTTAAACCACCAAGGCTCAAGACTGTGCAATCCTGGGATTTAGTAAGACACTAGAACTCTTTGGCAGATAAGTGGAAAAGGGGAAAAAGAAGTGGAAAAGGGGAGAAATCACCAAAGAAGAATTCAAACAAATAACCAACTCCTGTAGGGAAAAGGTTTGCAAGACTAAAGCACAAAATGAGCTCAGTCTTGCCAGGGACATTAAAAACAAAAAAAGGGCTTCTTTGCTTATGTCAGTAGAAAAAGGAAGAACAAGGAGGTGATAATGTCTCTGTGAGGAGAAGATGGGGTTAGGGAAAAGGCAGAACTACTTAATGCCTTCTTTGCCTCAGTCTTCTCACAAAAAGAAAGTCATCCTCAACCTCAGCAAGATGGTGTGGACAAGGGATTAGGGGAAATCCAGCCCCAAATTTGGAAACAAGTCATCCAGGAATACCTGGCTGCTCTAAATGAATTCAAGTCCCCAGGGCCAGATCAACTACACCCAAGAGTATTGAAGGAACTAGTAATTTCATAGCCACTGGTAATAATCTCTGAGAGTTCTTGGAGAATAGGCGAAGTCCCAGCAGATTGGAGGAGGGCAAATGAGGTCCCTATCTTCAAGAAGGGGAAAAAGGATGACCCAAACAATTACTGTCCGGTCAGCCTCACGTTGATATCAGGTAAGATTCTGGAAAAGATAGTTAAGGAAGTGGTCTGCAAACACTTTGAAACAAATGCAGTCATTGCTAATAGTCAATACAGATTTATCAAAAACAAGTCATGCCAGACTAATCTGATCTCATTTTTGATAGAGTTACAAGTTGGATAGATGAGGAGAATGCTGTGGATGCAGCGTATCTAAATATTAGGAAGAACTTCCTAACTGTAAGAGCTATTCAGCAATGGAATTCTCTGACCTGGAGTGTGGTGGAGGGCACTTCTTTGGAGGCTTTTAAGCAGAGGTTGGATGGCCATCTCTTGCAGGTGCTTTGAATGTGATTTTCCTGCTTCTTGACAGGGGGTTTGGACTGGATGGCCCATGAGGTCTCTTCCAACTCTATGATTCTAAGGCTGAAAGCCTTGCAAAACTCCAACTCCTAAGACCCCATAGCAGGAGCCATAGCAGCTAAAGTGCTGTCAAACTGCATGAATTCTACAGTGTCGATGCATCCATAAATGTTCCTTTGCTGCACTTCTGTATGTTTAAGCCTGTACCTTTTGAAGCAAGTTGCTTACACTTGCATCCTTTTTGGGCGAATCATAATAACCTTTGTGGCTTGTCTTCAACCTGGTGAGTTTTTTTCTCTCTGTCCTGACCTATCTGGTTTAGATTATGCTCACCGGGCACAGACTCTTTAACCTGGTCCTAGATGAAATCACTACATTTGCAGTGGAGTCGGTTCTCATATTCAGCTACCAAAGGTAACTTTACTGCATTTAAACAATCCAAGTAGCAACCAATACATTTCTGAGTTCTATGTGTCAGCAGGAGTACATTCAGAGACATCAGCAAAACAGTACTTCCCTAAGACCGAGACACCGACTTTCTCTCTTTTGCTCTTTGGCATAAATATTTAAAGACTTATTTTTGAAAGCTATTGGAAAACTGTATCATTTCCCTCTTTCGGCACCAGTTCTATTAGCTGAGCAACTTTCCACCATTATAGCAGCTTTCCACCACTTTCTGTTTCATTAGCATTCATTTTCTTTAGTCATCTGATACTACTCACCGAAAATTCAGGCAACTGGGAATGTGAAGCTAAAAGCTGAGGTTTGCTTCAGTGCTTGCCAGCCCACAGAATTATATTACCTTGCCTACCTTTGCCTAAAATGCAGGGAAATGACAAACCTTTCCATGCATGTGAAAAAGAGTTAAACTGTAAGCTTGACTGATGCGAATTGACATAAAACATCACAATGGCACACACCAGAGACAGATGTTTCCTTCAACTTGGGTTTAGCTGCGCCTTTTGCAAAACACACCACTGCTTTGCTGAACTTGCTGCTTAGAAAAGGACAGTGGACCTGACATTCAAAAACCCAAATCATCAGGAGCAAGGAGACAGTTCACTGACTTCCACTTAAAGTGAAAATAGTATATCTAAACTTCTGTTTAGCTTTTTGTTGATTCCATTAGAATTACCTAGTTAACCATCACAGAGAACCACTTTGCTGGACAACTGGGTTCCATCAGTGTTTGCTATAGTAGAAAATGGGAGATATCTGAAGGGGAAATTCATGTCCCTACATATACATATGAACTGAAGGTTAGAAAGTTTACATTTGAGACATCAAGAGTGCATCTGCCCTGCATAGCTATAGAAGTTTAATGCTTTAATTGCCATGACCCCATCCTATAAAAATCTGGATTTTTAGTTTAATGAGGGGTACTTAGAATGATCTCTTGCAGAATGCTAACCCTATATTTCATGGCAAAACAGATTAGAATGATATGGGAGAGAATTCTAGCTACTGGTTACCAAACTACAAATCTCAGGCTTCCATAAGGCAGAGCCATAATAGTTAAAGTGGTATCGGATTGGTATAATTAGGTAGTGCAAGTCAGAACCTTTCCCTCTAATATGTTGAAGAAGTTGTGGGGTTCTGATAACTGGAGTTCATAAACAAGCAACATTTCTAAATTTTGCCCTGCACATAGGTCACAGAATCATGACCCATCATGGCTCCCAATTTCAGGCCATCTGTGAGACCAATTTACACTTTATAAAGTAACTGAGTGCCAGCTATTAGTTGGATAATACACTGTGTGTGCAGTAGACATATAAACTGTTACCTGTGAAAGGAGACACATATGTTGCTAAGCATGCATTGAGTGCGTGCCTTTCCATTTTGGGGAATTTCTGTCTCCCTTTCATGCTTTTCATTTTCACCAGAGCAAACACTTGAGAAACTCCTGCGAAACTTGGCTGCCTCATACAGTGCATTTTAATTGGAAGGGGTTGATATCAGGGTTGGGAGGGAACTGGACAATTAACCTTTTAACTAGGCATTTCTTAAGAGGAATGAAAGGGAAAAAAAGCAAAGGATTGGAAGCCTTGCTCTGCCATCTACTTAACATAACAGCATGCAAGAATCATTGTTAGGGATTTATAATTGCCATGGTGCTGTTGTTCTTCTACTTGATTTTTTAAAAATTCTGGATAATGCCTTTGGAAATATGGAATATAAACCAACGAAGAGATGAATCTCTATCCAGACCTGAATGTTATCAATATTTAGATTGCTCAACCTTGTTGAAAGCTACATAAAAAGAAATAATATTTATTTAGAGAGGATAATTAATCAATCTTCAACCAAAGCTCTCAGGGCAAACTTACAAAATTAAAACAATAAAAACAGCAGGAAAACATAAAAGAAACGGCAGTAAAAAGAGCATTTCTGTAGAGGACAAAAATTCACAGCAACCCAAAGTTTAGCTGAAAAGGTATGGTGGTCTTCATCTAACATTATATTATAATATGTTTGCTTCCATTGAAAAATGTTTTAGTATATTGCCATGTGTTTTAGAAAAGTGCTGAGAAAAGTGTTTCTATTTTAGATCTACAAATTAGGGGCCTTGATAAGGAAAACATTTTTCCATCTGGGGCCAAGAAGAAAAAGATTGCTGACAAATTTCCTAGGGGAAGATTTCAGAGGCAGGATGCCACAACTGAAAAGGTCTGTTCTCCATGGAATAATAATTAACCTTCCCAAACAATCAATGGGGATACTGGGATGGAAGAAGTAGATGTCCAGGAGGAGGGAAAATCTATCTTAGATTTCTTTCAAGTACTGGATGTTAATTGAATCTGAGCAACAACCCTTCACCCCTATACCCCTAATGAGACATTCGGGCATATGGAGGACCCCTCATATGCAGTCTGAGCCCAACAATAGTTTATTAACTCTTCTGCAATTGGTATATTTATTGAAACATATCAGTTTTTAAAACTCATATGTGAAGTTGTGGACAATGTACACTGCTCCAAGCTGAGTTCAGAGGCAGATAAACAGACCAATCATGGAAGGAAAGTAGTGTCCTGTTCGAACTGATGTTTGTAGGTAGAATCAAAACAGAAGAGCATCTGGTCAGACAAGGCACTGGAGCTCAGAGAGTTCCAGGCAAAATGTGGCAAAATCCTCACTTGTTTTTGGCACTTCTAAGTACAGCAGATTCACATTTTGCTCCATAAACATCTACAATCTGCTGAAATTTGATCATATAATTGGGACACTAAAGTCAACTAGCAGCCAGGGATGCCTTCTTAGGGTGAATCTACACTGTAGAATTAATGCAGTTTGACACCATTTTAACTTTCTTCCTTCAATGCTATGGAATCATGGGAATTGTTGCCTTACAAGATCTTTAGCCTTACAAGATCTGCCAAATAGTGCTAGTCCCAAACTACAAATCCCAGGTTTCCACAGCAATGAACCATAGCGGTTAAAGTGTTTCCAAATTTCATTAATTTGACTTTTTTTGAACTGTAATAATGCCCCAACCCCCCTAATCTTTGAGAAATCTCTTTTTCATCCAAGTGACAATAATGATTAAAAAGATGCTTCCTAACTGCTAAAGACGGGAAAAAATCTCTTTGATATTCTAATTGTCAGAATAAAAAGTAACTTTTCACAAATCTGGTTTAGTGCATGTTTAAGAACAAAATTTTTGATCCAAAACTCCAAAATATGAGCAGAGAATTAGTATTTTTATCTTGATTTTTTTTTCAGTCATTCGGGGGGGGGGGGGGCAAAGAGATTTCTGAATAAATAGTCCTCCAAAGTCCCCAAAAATGTTTTTGGAGGTCATTCTTGCAATAGGGAGAAAAGTGTAAAAATTATTCACTCTTCTCCATAAGAATATACAAAGATTTGCATCCCCAGAAGTAACTACATATTCCTGACCACCTCCTTATCTTTTATGAAGTGTAACCTCTTCACTCCATCAATTATTCTATTTTTTCAGGTTGAGCTCTTTGACATGATAGTGAAAAAGAACTGAGAAGTTTAACCATCCCTCTGTCATCTGTAAGTATTCATGCATCTTTTCCGCACAAAGGACCTACCCCTTTTTTGTTCTTTCTCTTGCTCTAGCATAAAAACCTTTTTATTATGTTAACCCTGCTAGCAAGCTGAAGCCCATTCTGGCCCTTAGCCCTTCAGACTTTTTCCAGTGTACTCTTTCCATTCCTTTGTTTTCTTCTTTGGTGATTTGACTGTCCCATTGCTTATATAAATTTCTTTTAGCTCTCAGTTCATCTGAAAGTACCTTATGCATTTACCTTGGACAATAGACTGAGCAGAAACACAAATTCACTTGGAACCCATTCACACTACACAATTATAGCACTACTATTCCACGTTAACAGGCATGTAGCCGGGGGGATGGGCTTGGGGGGCTTCAGCCCCCCCCCTGAAATTCTCATGGTGGTCCGCGAGAAGGCCTTACTGGTACATTATTTAAACTGTTATGTCTATTCATATCATGATCTGATCACCATGCTCAATATATCCCATATGCATGGGGGTATTGGGGTAACGATACAAAAGGTTTGCTAGGATAGACTCTCTTTCACTCAGACAGCCCCCCCCTGAACCAAACTCAGCCCCCCCCCCCGAAACAAAATCCTGGCTACGGGCCTGCATGTTAACTATCATCGTTTCTTTTTCTGGAATTCTGGGAGATGTAGTTTGATGAGGCACTATACAAACTCTCTAGCTGACAAATCTCAATGCCACTTCCTGAACTTTCCATCCTAAGTTTACATAAGATGTTACCTGTTTTGTAGAGTTGGTCTTCACTATGTCTCAATGTATTTACATGCTGCCTATTGTCCCGACAACTATGTGCTCATGGTTTGGAGAATATGATTTGGGAGAGCATTCTTCAGAGGAGAGTGCTACTAGTAAAGGAGGCCTATACCTTCTTGCTATCTGCTGGGCCACAATGTAGTTCTGCTCTATGATGATCATCTTCCACACAAGTCTCTACTTTGTTCTGGCCATTTTGTCTGTAGACTTTTGCCCATGGAATGATTCCATTAGTAAGTAGACTGATCTACCAATATCTTTGAACAGTTTGGTTAGTATAATTTGTAGTGTTCATGCTGTGACCTTGAATTCAGCTACCACAGAGACTATAGTTGTTATTCTTAATCAACAGTCCCATGTTTTAAAGGAGAAGCAGACTCATGTGGATGTAGACCTGAAGACTACTTACTTATTTGCTGTTAAGTGAGTACCAGAAGATCTTTGCTTTGAAGGTTTTCAAACAGAAACTGAATGGCCAGCAGTCCGGAGTGGTTTGATTCATGCATGGCAGAGAGTGGTTTCTTTCTTCTGACTTCATGTTTTTACCATTTATCTTGAAGGAAGGAGGCCTCTCATTGGAATGGACCTGCTGTTCTAATTTTGACTACATGGAGGTGTCGCCTAATAGAAGTGAGAGAAGATTACATTTTCAACCACTCCAGGATGAGGGTGAGCAATTTCTACAGTTACAACCTCAGTTTGAACCACACAGCAAAATATACCAAGCCATTTATTATATTAAACTGGGGTCTCACAGTCCAGCAGCCAGCAATTTTAGTGTATCATTTTGCAGATTTTTGTGTGAATGGATAATAATAAAGCTTTTATTGGATTTTTTGTTTTTGTTTCAAGGCTAGGTTTCAACAGAAAGAACTGCCTATTTTTCCCCTTTCACTCTGGGGTTAGCTACACGTAAACCATGCCTCAAAGAATGAAGCTCGGTTACAGTGATTTATACACAGGCTGTGAGGTTTGGAGTTCAACACAGACTTCCTTTGGTCTCTCAGGTGTTTCTGCTTTCTCTAGGAGTCATTGTTCTAAAAACCCACACAAAATTAAGCAGCACGGAGTACTGAATTGGAGGCATTAATACCTACCACTTTATTGTGCACCAGTGGAAGCCATGGCAAAATGGAGTGGGAATTGCCCCACTGAGGGGCTTAAAAATCCAGCTGTTAATAAACTGAAAATGGAATCATGATGACTGATAGCAGTGCAGTGCAATAACGTATGGTGTAAGTATACAAGAGACTGTTGAGATTTGATATTTTAGAACTAGCACGCAAAAACCCATGTAATGCTTGATGGTATCAGGAGTTGCTCATCTGCCTGGTCTAGTCTGCCAGATCATCAGCCGAAGAAGAGATGTGTTGCCCTCAGCAGGCAGGTTCTAAAGAGAGAATAAAATGGAGTTGTGACAAACAGGAAGTATCAAGAGGTTTATGGAATTTGTGAATCTTTAGAAAGAGATACTGGGAATGTGACAGGAGAATTGAATACATCCGTTGTAGTGACTCATCATCCACATAAAGAGGATGACGGGATCCAGTAGCTGTGTAGACAGTGTCATCACATGAGATGGGTTCATATGTCATGGTAAGCCAGGATTCTACAGAAATGGTCAGAAATCTGAACTGTGCTGGTACACTTTTGTTTATGACTTCCACTTGGAGTAAGATCATCTTTTTGTTAATGTCCAAACCTAGCAGAGGTAGTGCAATTTTTTGTCTTTCCCTGACAAGAAATAATCCATGATTATTTGTATTTTTCACTTCTTTAGTTTGTGAAAGAAAGATGAGCCAGAATGCCAGCTCTTAATTGGTTCAGACATTTCAATAAATAAACCTTCAGTGAAGGAACATAGTTTGTTCAGCCTGTCCCATTGGAAGTGACATCAACTAGGCCTTCTCCTCAGAAAACTAGAATTCTTTAAAGATATTTGGGAGGGAGCTTTCTCTTGGTCCCATCATAGGCATTTTGGGTGAAGACAGAGGAGAGAGCCTTTTCAGTAGTTGCTTCTAGGCTGTAGAATTCCTCTCATAGGACGCGCAGTTGACCTCTTTCTACCATCAGACAAAGACCTTTTCATTTCAGCAGGCCTTTGGCTCTTAATACAAAAGGTGTTTTAAGGTGGTATCCTATTTGTTTATATTTTTATGAAGTTTTCACTGTGTTTTAAATTGTTTTCAGTTTTTGATTCTAATAGAATTGCTTGATATATGTGTGTATAATAAGATTTTACCAAGTTTTAATTTAATCAAAGCTGCTTTGGGTCCTGTGCTGAAGAAAGACAGGAAATAAATAAATAAATAAACAATCATTTCTTTTGCAGCATAATTTTACATTTGGTGTCCCAGTCCACTCAAGAAAAGCATAGAGGGAATGCCAACAATGTAGCATTTATGCATACACTCTTGAGTCAATAGTAAAAATGAACAGATGTGCTTATATTAGGGAAAATATGTACTAAATTAAACCGAAAGACTGTAGTCAGGGAAAAAATATATAATTTGGATTGAAATAAAAAGTGGCAGTGAAATTCTATGAAGAGTAGTGAAAGTAAAGCAGATGGATTTTCTGCTAAATACCGTAAAGCATGTATGCATAACCTGTCACTCTCTGGGTGTTTTGGACCTCAGCTCCCAGAATTCCTGACCACAGGCTTGCTTGGTATTCTGGGAGTTAATGTTCCAAACACCTGGAAGATCACAGGTTGCACACGCCTGCCCAAAAGCAACAGATCCAGGCTGATCTTGGAAGCTGAGGAAGGTCATATTGGGACTCAAGGTGGCTAACAGCAAACATGACACAATTTAAAAAAGCAAAGCAAATGCATGTAAATATGAATCTAAAATAAAACAACTAATTTTTGTGACATGAAGCATACAATAAAAATACAATTAAAATTACATTTAAAAACTACACAACTTCTCAAAATCCCACTCACACTATCCTCAGCAGCCTAGTTCTCATCATTCCCTAAATGCCTGATGACAGAGGTACAGTACATTTTCACCTGCCTGCAAAAGATACACAGGGATGGGGGCATCCCAGTCTCTCTAGGAAGGGAGTTTCAGAGGCTGGGAGTAGCCACCTAAGAAGCACTCCCCCTTGTTCCCACCAAGGAACTTGAAAGAATAGTGAGACAGAGAGAAGTCCATCTGCAGAAGATCTTAGAGCCCTTCCACACTGCCCCTTTATCCCAGGATCTGATCCCAGATTATCTGTTTAATCCAGGTTATCTGGCCGTGGGGACTCATATATTCCAGTTTAAAGCAGATAATCTGGGATCACATCCTGGGATAAAGGGCAGTGTGAAAGGGCCCTTAGCGGTCTAACAGTTTCATACAGATAGATGTGGCCCTTCAAATAACCTGGCCCCAAGCCATATAGGGCTTTATTGTTCAGAACTGGCACTTTAAATTGTGCCTGGAAACAGGTTGGCAGCCAGTGGTGCTGTTGCAACAAGGGAGTTGTTCACTCCCTGTAACCAGCCCCAGTTAGTAATCTCGCTGCCATTCTTTGGACCAACTGAAATTTCTGACCACTTTTCAAAGACAGCTCCATGCAGAGTGCATTACAGTAATCCAACTGGGATGTAACTAAAGCATAACTTGTATGCGAGATCACCAGCAAATATCGGGTGCTGCAGGCTGTGTTTCAAAAGAAACTGAGCATTCCTTACCTATGAGGACCTTATGAAATTTGTGGGTTCGCTATAAATTGATGGGTGACTTGAAGGCCCATGCACGCAGCAGGCAGCCAATGGTGAATTACATGATAGAACAGAAAACTATTCTATGACTAATGTATTATAACTGTATATTTTACTGTCAGGAAGTTGGAAATGCACTGGTATGATTTTTTTTTCTCGTATGGGACAAAATAATTTGAGAGGACTATACATCTTGTCTTGTGGAAAGGGGCAACATTTGCTGTATTTTCTCATGCAGAAAAGTGCATTGAACCAGTCTGGATCGCAACTATGAGCTCTTCAGAAAACAACAAGCATTTAAAATACGAATTTCTCTTTGTGATCTTACATATAGTGGGTGTTGCAAAGTTGAGATGATCCTCAGGACTCTGAGGAAGTCCTTTGAGAAAGTGTCACTTTATGCATGGATTGCTGCCTTGATCATATATTTCCCAGCATTTAATTGTTCGGCCTCCTCATTATGCTGTATGACAGTTTCATCCCACCTGCTCACAATATATTGGGATCAGATCCTGGGTGATGTGGTTTGTTTTTCCCTAGTTTATATTTGGCCCATATTTCATCACAGCATAAACAGCTTCGAAAAACCAAAGCAAAGTTTGACAATGGCAGCAAGAACTAAAAATGATTTGAAGAATTTAAGTTTTTAAGAGTATATGGCTTCAGAATGAATTAAAAACAACCAATGCTCTAATCATATGCTTCACAAATGACAAGATATCCAGCTTCCAAGGACAAAGGAAAATATCACTGTTTAAATTATTGACCTTCTGAGTTAATGTTAAGCCTTAAAGTTGACCAGCAAGGTATAGTAAGACTGCATACCGTGTAGATGAGGAGGAAGTTGGCCAGTATACAAGGATAGTGACATAAAATGGTATTTATTATTTATTATTTTATTTATTTAGAGCTTTTATAAACCGGTCTTCTCAACCTCCGAAGAGCGACTCAGGCCGGCTAACAGCAGAAAATTCAACACAAATATAGTAAACATAATAGCATTATAATACATTAATACAAAATACATTAAAATACAGATCATACAATATCATACAAATTCATAGCCATAGCTATGAACCATCCATGTTTCATGTCATTTTGCTGGAAGAAATTGATATGATGGAGATATAAATAGTCTGATGCCCTTTTTCATTGCCCCAGAAACAGCTTTACAACAAAGGTTAAAGCAACTTAAAAAGCGCTATATTTCAGCAAAATGATATTAATGTAACAAACAGCGGCAAGGAAACAGAAGGTAAATCCCAAAAGCAAAGCAAAAAGTCTTACATCAGACATGAAACAAGAATCTTTGGTAAAAAGTCTTTGTGGGGCACTTTGCAGAAGCTGGAGCTGCAAGCAAGAAAACCAGAGCACAGAAGAACTAAGTAGAATGGTTTATTTATTATTTATTTACACCATTTCTACCCCGCCCTTCTCACCCCCAAAGGAGGACTCAGGGTGGCTAACACAGGCAACAATTCAATGCCAACAGTATCAATAACAATGATATAAGCCAGTGGAGCTAACACAGCAGGGGGGTGGTATGCTCCCTGTATGGTGCTCCGGTGAATAATCTGGCTGCCGCCCGTTGGACTAGTTGAAGTCTCTGAACAGTCTTCAAAAGCAACCCCACGTAGAGTGTGTTGCAGTAATCTATTCGGGATGTAACCAGAGCATGGACCACCGTGGCCAAGTCAGACTTCCCAAGGTACGGGCACAAGCTTTAACTGTGCAAAAGCTCCCCTGGCCACCGCCGAGACCTGGGGTTCCAGGCTCAGCAATGAATCCAGGATCACTCCCAAGCTGCGAACCTGCGTCTTCACGTTTCATGACTTTGCCCAAGTAGGGGAGATTGGATACTGGATGATAGTTGACTAATTGAGTGGGGTCCAGTGATGGTTTTTTTCAACAGCAGTTTTATAACAGCCTGTTTTAGGCTGGCTGGAATCTTGCCTTCCCGTAGGGAGGTGTTAACCACCGCCTTAACCCACTCTACCGAACCCCCTCTGGCTTCCTTCAACAGCCAGGATGAGCAGGGGTCTAGGATGCATGTGGTTGCCCTCACCTCTCCAAGGATCCTGTCCACATCCTCGAGCTGAACCAATTGAAATGAATCCTTCAAAACCAGACAAACAGGTGCTCTTGTTACATCCTCAGAGACTGCTATTAACGTGGCGTCGAAGTCGGACCGGATCAGAGCAACTTTGTCCACAAAGAACTGCGCAAATGCTTCACAGCAAGTTGCCGAGTTGTCAGGGATCTCGCTCTGAGGCGGGGTTAACAGCCCTCTGACACCTCAGAACAACTCAGCCGGACGGTTCTTTGCGGACACAATATTGGCCGCAGGAAAAGATTTCTGTGTGCCTTTTATTGCTGCGTCGTAGTGCCTTAGGAAGGCATCCAGACGTGTTTGGGCTGATCCGCTATGCTTCCGCCGCCACACGCACTCTAGTCTCCTCTTCTTTCACTTCATCGCTGCCAGCTCCTCAGTAAACCAAGGAACTGGTTTAGCTC